GATATAATTAAAACGTATTTTGCTGTTTATGTGATATTATTTGTATAACTTGCTTCTTTAGAAATGCATTTAATGGTTTTAGTAGGAATTTTATCAACAGACATTTGTTTTAGTGCTATTATACTGCTTTAAAAGCTCCGTTTCATAAAGCTTCTAACCATTGCTTCCATTAAATTTGAGCTAATAGACTAGAGGGAGTGCAGCTAGTCAACAGCACCTATCGCCAACTCTTGGGCCTCTCTAGTCTGATCGGATAGTGAAATTTGGCTGTTACTCTTGTTCTAAGTTATCTTAGATTACTTAGAACAGTGTGTCCTAACCATTAGCACTTGGATCGTGAATGGTTTGGTTTGTTATTAATTTCGCGCAAGGCGACACGCGGGCTATTTGCGCTAGCCGTCCCTAATTTAGCAGTGGAAGACTAGAGGGAAGGCAGCTGGTCATCACCACCCTCCACCAACTATCGACCTACTCTTTTACCAACGAATTGTGGGATTGACCGTCAGATTATAACACCCCCACAGCTGAAAGGGTGAACACGTTTGTTGTTAACGGGGATTCGAACCCGCAACTCACAGATTGCGAGTCGAGCACCTTAACCACCTGGCCATGCCGAGCCGGGATCGTGAATCCTAAAATGCTAAACGTTAAGACACATTTTAATAAGTAAGCTAAGGTATTATCAGAGATTTTCCAAAACTAATGTTATGAAATAATATCAGTGGCATCCCTATATTTAGAATACAGTTTAGATCAACTATTATGGTGCAACATGAAATTTATATGGAAACAAGTTTCAATACTTTGATGTTGATCTTTGCAGTTCAACGTAAAAATGTCGAAACTTGTGTTCATATAAATTTGGTGTTAATCCATAATAATGGATCTAAACTTTTTCTTAATTTACTTTACATTTAGTTTACATTTACCTACAATCCCTTTGTTTATGTTTTTGCAAAACAAGCGCAATGTGACCAGTCATATGATTTGATATGCAAATGTTCATTTGTTAATACAGATTTTTCTGTTAATGAGGCGTATAGTCTTCTCAGACGCTAACACAAGTAGAAGATCGAAATGGCTAGCTTAAAATGAGCGGATAAATGAGTTGTTGGAATAATGTGTTTCATTATTTCTTCAAAGTTGCTTCCAGTTCATCAACACTACTTCGAGGTGAATCAAGTATTGCCAAGCGTCTTAGAGCACCTCATTCGTGTCCAATAGTATTCAAGTCCAGTGAGCGTGCTGACCACTTCATTCGCTGGATATCCTCTTTTTACCAGGAAATTACTAAACAAGGGAACAAGATGGATGCGTGTTATCATCCATTAGAAGAAAGTTCTGACGGAACTGCACCTGCGTATCACACAACACTAATGGCTATAAGACTACATCTCTATATCGTATACTACCGCCACTACCACATGCATATCTTTACCCCATGAAACTGGGTTTTGATATGGTTCCTGAGATTCTGTAAAATGTGTATCTGACTTCAATACGAAATGTTGTTCGCCCACAAGTCACTTGACCAATCCACATGTTCTTGAGATTACTGAAGACTGGTAGTGTCGTGGCAGATGAAAAGAGAGAAATCACTCCACTGGTTGTCTGACCTAAACCAAACTTCGTGAAACCTGTTTCCCAACATTTACATGCGGATTTGTTGCTAAGATGCTGTTCTGAACTGTTAAATTAGTTTGGGAGCTGAGATTTTTCCGGTTACTTCGAGTCCATATTAGGCATATTCAGACTACAGTTAAAGATGGTAACAACAATCGTTTTTGGAACCCATTTATGTCTGAAAGTTAACCTTTCGGGTAAGAAATTCGTTGTCGTTTAAACCAGTTTTCCTAATTGTTTAATACCCGTTTTAACAAACAATCAAACGTCTTAATAGTAGGTAGGCACACAACGATTTGTAAGCATAAGTTTTATTGATGGTGTAATATACTATAAGTTTTGACAGAAAATTGGTCTATCTTCTTCTTACCAATTATTATATTAGCATAATGTGCTTCCTTACTAAAGAATCAAATAACGTGGTGAACCAACATGCAATGACGCCTGTAAGACATAGAAAAAAAATTAATTCGCAATTGAATTTCATAATCCTCTTACTATAATACTAATTACTATTTTTTGTTGGTAATATATTTATCTTGTTGTAAGAATTTCGTTTTAGGAGTTTTTATTTTCAGAAAGAAAATAATACATATTTCGGAAGCCAACTATATTTTTTTTTAATAAAACAGGTTTCAAGTTCTTTACAGTGTGAAAAATATGTTCGCTAATTCGGATTTCGTTCTTACTCTAAAGTGTAACCGAGTCAGTCTAAATACAGCTACTGTCAAATTATGGTCATTTTGTTGGATTGTCAGCAAAGATATATACCCTGTCTGTATATTCAGATAAAAGTGTTGGTGATCCGAGAGCGAGTTTACATCCTGCTATGCACACTTTGTAAGACTTGTTGCATTTAACTAGTTATAATCCAACTTATTTCCATCAAAATTATGAAAAGTTCGCATTTCTTTGTTGGGGTCTTGGCATGTTTCACTGTCGATCTGAATATTTCTACATATTCTGTTGCTGTTCAAACAGCTGAAAACACAAAGTTTCTTTACAACTCAAATGTGCATGTCGGATCTCATGATAGACCATCTGGCACTTGATTTGCCTAAAATTGAACTTAATGGTTTTCCTTGTCATAGCTAGAACAAACAATACCTTGATTACTTTCATTATCCTTTAATTATTTTGAGCAGTGTGTAGACCAGGTTTCACTTCTATTAAATTATAGTTATGTTTAGATTTTGTATTTTATATTTTAAACTTTAAGTTCAACTAATTTGATCACTTCATGCTAAAGGTGTCCGCGGGGACTCGGCGGTAATTCAATGGACTTATAAAGCTAGAAATCGGGTTTCGATATCCATGTTGTGCAGAGCTCGTTGTGAAGCTTTATGCTTTATAACAAACAATCAAGTGAACCACGATAAAGTTTTATAACGCTGATCTAATGTTGAAATGAAATATTAATTATTCATGCGATTGAGTGCGATAAATATATTATGTTTGTTACATGGAATATCATTTGGAACAAATTAGGTAGTTTTAATGTTCGGAATTATTAACGCAGCGCATAAATATTTTTAACCATTATTACTGAAATAAGGAGTTAAAAGTTCACACACACACACATATATTGTGTGAAGACATTTCAATTGTGTTACTTCTTCGTCTGTTTCTTTTTGATAGAACTAATATGATATGGTAGTTTTTGTCAAAATTGGCATCCTTATTGAAAATGGTGAGATGTTCCAGTGTGGATAACCTTCTCAATTCACACCTGCATGGTAGAAGTGTGGTTTGGATATTTATTAAAACACTTCACAAGTTTTGATATAATATTTTGAACGTAAATTTAGCACTGGATGTGAATAAATAGTGTCTAAAGAGAAAGAAGAGTTTTTGGTACAAGGTTTGAAAAATGTAAGTTTTTAGTTCAAAATTGTGGGTAAATGTTTGATGTTAAGGCCAGGCTTAGCCTATTGGTTAGAGTGTCGGGATGCGGATCGAAAGGTCCAGGTTCAAGACTGCTGAAAACGTTTCGCACTGTATAAAAGTGACAGACAATCACATTATTCGATTTAAAGTGTCGACAAAGACCTCGAGACGACGTGTATTGCTTGATGACTGCCTTCTCTTTGATCAGTAGTTAAGAATTAGACTATACTTTAATCTTAGGTGTGTATGATTTGTATTTAATTATACTTGTAATTAAACATTATATTAGGCCTATTATTACTTTTAACACAACATTCTTAATCTAGTTCCTTAGAGATATCAAGAATTAGAAGGAGTGTATAATAATTGTATTTCAACAACACTATAATGGTCATATCCATTACCAACGACACGATTCGCTCAATCCAGAGCTCTTTAGGCTGGCTGAGATACAACAAGACACAGTAGTGGTCGGAATGCCATTTATATAGGCCATTTGTTACAACAACAGTTGTTATGGTGTGAACGCCTTTTACAAGCAGCCTCTGATTTTTTAAACTCACATGTGCATAAGTTGTCTTTCAGACTGAAAATATTCAATTCTAAGATTAAGTATTTGATTTTATCATTGCCCTGAAAACATAATTATTCCAAATGATTCTCGCTAAATACTAGGTTTTGATGTCAATGGTAAGCACAGCACAGATAGTCCATTGTGTAAATTTGTGCTTACCAACAACAACAAACAAAATTATTCCAAATGGATCAAACATTGCAATCTGTTTTACGGAAAAACACAGAGTAACGGCATCCTAAATTCTTATAATAGCAACATGAAAAACTTGCTTGTTACAATATAAAAGAATATGAAACATAGTTTATAATAATGATTTTGTTCATTGTAAATATGCGTGTTGCAAAACATGCTGCTATTTTTCATTGCGAGACGTACGCATCCCAAAAAACTGATAATACAATATCCACACTAAGGCTGACATCTGTTCATCGTATGCATGTTAAGCCTTATCAGTCTATATTCTGACAATACGTTTGCAACACACTTACATTAACATGTTATTAATCAGATATATTTTTTTATGTTCATTAACCAAGACTAAGATTCTCATGTATTCATTCTAAGCATGTTAAGCCTTACCAGTCTATATTTTGACAATACGTTCTCAACACATATATTATTAATCAGATATATTTTTTGTGTTCGTTAAAAAAATAACTTCAATTGGACAGCTGTCAAAAAAAAAGAATTCAATGTGAAGTGTCATCATAAAAATTATGAATCTACCAAATATTTTTACCCACCAAGAGGTTTTAACCGACAAGTACTTGGATTTAGTAATATAGCATTCTCATATAGCAAATTTCTTTAATTTTTTTTTACCTGGTTTAAAATGTTTACTACTTATGATTTAATGTCTTCAAAATTTTCTATTGTCTTTTAACTATAATTCGTCTGTTTGATATTTTTATAGCAACCATTTCTCTGCGAAATTGAAGATACAATTGGCGTCCCTTGTCTGTCGGCTGGTCCCGTCAGCTGCAGAGTTCGGTTAGACCGAGGGGGATACGTACCTGGAGAATGTATATGTATTTCTGCAACAATAGAGAACAGTAGTAAGATTACGATTCGAAAAACAAGAGCAATTCTATCAGAGGTATAGTTACTGAATATAATTAATTTATTATTATTGAGTGACTTCTGCCATTATTATTTATAATTTATTTTCTTGTTTTTACAATTGTCGACAATGTTCCCAGACAAATTGATTAAATTATTGTGTTTAGTTCCTTTATATATATTAATATATTACTGTAAGATAGGTAGTCTAGTGTGCCTGTAATAATATTGTTCTAAACAGTTAAATCGCAATAAGAATCTGCTATGTATGTTATTAATATTTGTTTTTTAAAAATCCCAAGAGATAGCGCTAGTGTCTCTACACTTTCGAAACGAATTGGCCGGATTGATTGGTGTTCATAAATATGCAGAAAAAAAAAAAAGAATTAATAATATTAACGTTTTCAGGAAGTCTGTAGACAATCTTATCATAACTAACAAAGTTAACAAAAAGCATGGTAAAAGCACGTTTAGATAAGAAAATATAGATATAAGTGCATTAAAGTTTCTATCTTTTCATATTTGAGAAATGTAAAATTTAACTGATATTGTTGCTGATATGGAGTACAAAATATTTTCCTCTTTCAAGAAATTATGATAAATGTTAACTCTTTCCTCCATTAGACTATTCAATACACCTCAAAGAGAAAGATAGTGCAGACAGAAACTAGGGAGCTAGCTTCATTAGAAAAAGGACGTGTGGAGGCAGGATCAACTGACCAGTGGAGAAATGAGATGATGTGCATTCCGCCACTTCCGCCGACAAATCTTAGGGGTTGTCACCTAATCCGCGTACAGTATGATATTTATGTAAGACTTTTGACGATATCAGTGTAAGAGAAATGTGTAAAATCAAAGAAACTTTCAACGGGATACGTTATAAAAACCATAGTAATTTATGGTGTTCTGAAACTTTATTTGAAAGCGACGTAGTATGTGTTTTCTTATATTAAAATACTTAATTACAACAAGTGACAAACAAATAAATTCATCTAAAATTGAGGTTTTTTAATTAAGTTATTTTTACTTCTGGTTAAGAATAGAGACTCATATTTTTTATCATTTAGTTTCATTATTTATAAATATACACGTTTAATAACACATGTCACTGTTTTTTTAAGAGGATCGCCCCTTTACATTTCAACAGCAATAACATGAATATTAGGTTTGTAGCCAGCCTTGACTACTATTCTCCATTCCATGCGTATTTTGAGCTTAATATTACGAAATTGATGTTGACTTTAGTAGTCTCATTATATTCTTTACAATGAATATAAAGGTTGTTAGCAAAATGAAATAGCTAAATAAAAACGATAGACAGCGCATGGCTAGGAATAAGTTATACTCAAAAAGTGAGGTAAGACATAAAAGTGCAAGAGAAAAAGTACATTTTCCCTGCGAACAACCGACTAAGTACAATTAAGGTTTATGTATTTAACTGATAAAAATAGTTTACACTCTAACAAATGCTAGCAATAACATTTGACAAGGAATATATATAAATACTCTTTGCCAAACAGAGGCCCATAGAGAGAGAACTACAGAATTTTGGAAAAGTTCGTTGGAAATCTGAGAATGTTTGAATATGAGTAAATGCTGTATAAGTAACGTATTCTGGTGCAAAGAACAGCTTAACTACTGATGATAGTGTTACTTGTCATCTAAGGCATGTTCTGCAACGGTTCAGGAATATAAGCCATAAGAAAAATTATTAATCCATTAGGATTTCCCCAAAGTTTCTTTTAGTTTATTTTTTAGAACGTATAGTACAAATCAGTGTTATTGTATTTCATCTCTCAAACAAACCGTACGGAGACAGAAAGTAAGCGAACGAATATTGTTAAAACTTTAGGTAAGAGAGTATCTATATTGTCACCTTCTTATGTTATTTGACAGTACATTCTAAACAAATAAGTTAGCTAGTTGTAATACATTCCAGCCCCTAAAAAAACAAAAACAACAACATCGAAAACCTGCTGAGTTAAAAAGTGCCATAGTGTTCGTCTGTTTACGCACGTAAACAGTATTTATTAATTAAGTAAAACTCGGATTGTGAGCCAATGTGAAGTGCTTCAACTTAAGTAAAACATAGTTACTGAGCCAAAGTGTTCACTTTCTTGAATCTGTACCACTAAGTTATAGATAAATGTCTCCCAGTGACTCAGCAGTGAGTCAGGGAGACATGTTTGGTGTATTAGTTATCAAACAAAGCTTTCCGGTACCCTCTTTCCTTTGTAAAAAATCTAAATAGGGATTTGAACTCCTTGCGATATCTGCATTCTGGTTTGCCCATCAGCGTAGCCTAATTTGTCCTTTTCTAGGTTATGATAGAGTTAAATCCATATCCCAATCCTAAATCTCTCACAAAACACTGTAGTGGCCGCATATGCTGAACATTAAAGCTTTATAAAGCCGTTCACTCTGCGGTTTTCACGAGTTCTACCAATAAAGATGGCCGAGGAAAGCCCATTGTAGTTTATTTTCCGCCGTAAGGTGATGAACTCCCATGCCTGCCTGAACGAGAAAACTTCTATTATTTTCTGCAAGAGGATCACAGTCCTGCAAAACCCATAAATTTCGCATTTTCGTGGCCGAATACTATTGAAGGATGTTATTTTAGTAGTAAATTGTTTTATTTTTGATGTTAACAGACTGCGCTCTTTATCCGAGTAATTATTAGCTGTGGCATAGCGGCTCATAGAACGGATCTGAGTTTTCTTTCCAAGTACAAAATTCTAGCCCTTGACCGATTTGAGATTTAATTACAGTTTTGGACTCATGAGGTCAAACCCTTTTGATTGATGTATTTGACTACGCCCAAAGTCTCATAAATTAATTTACTTTAATCCTGCCTAACAGAATGTCAAGAGCCGCGGCTATTGAGGATTCCCTCTTATTTAGCTCTAATTTGAAATACCATGAAACCCCTCTGTAGGCTGTAGTCCTTCCAATCTCCAGAATTCGGTCTTATTGACTCGTAAACTGTGTGTTAAAATCAATTATAAAACTATGGATTTTATTTCTTACCTATTTCTCGGAACATTTACTTAATATTACATCTTTCAGGGTTAAAGTATAGGTTAAATAGAGTGATATCCATTACATGTGTTCCTTGGCAGTGAAAGAGTTAGGTATGTGAACACTACACTGTGCAAAAAACAACAACAAACGTGAGCCACCATTATATCATTAATATCTAAGTAAACATCCTATTTTTAGCGAAATCTGTAAAGGTTTACATCTTACTTACAGAACATTCTGAGCGTGAGAGTGTCTAAAGTTTCGTCGAACAATACGTTTCAGAAGAAGAAAGTATGATTCAGTTTCAAATTACTCTGTTTTAGTAAATACCAGATGCTGACATATATAGTGTTAACATTTAAATTTACGTTTGGCAAGAGTACATTCTGGAATTTAACCAATACCGAACATCCCACTTCAGTAACCAGCTGAATCGTGTTAAAATCATCTCTTTATTACCTTCTTAAACTTCACTTTCTGGGGAAGAGCGTGATCTGATATTAACGCATTCCCTAAGAAAATATCACCTGTTGGTCTGGAAAGTGTCAGAATTATCACATGTTTGCGTTTACTAACACTAAATACAGGAATGAGAAATAAACCAATATTAAGAGATTTCACTCACGCAAACAACGTATTTGAGGCTAGAATGTGTCAAAATTATACTTTCGTAATAAAAGAATAAATTATTCAGTGGAAAGCGACCCTGTACTACCATATTTTACAAAGTTAATAATGAATCCTGGCCTAAAGGTGAATAGCTTTATTATATTTCCAGTTAAGTTAAGACCTCATTCTGAGGTTGACAATGTGTAATTATCATCATATTTTAAAGACACCATTCTGAGGTTGACAATGTATAATTATCATCATATTTTGAAGACCCCATTCTGAGGTTGACAATGTGTAATTATCATCATATTTTAAAGATACCATTTTGAGGTTGACAATGTGTAATTATCATCATATTTTGAAGACCCTATTCTGAGGTTGACAATGTGTAATTATCATCATATTTTAAAGACACCATTCTGAGGTTGACAATGTGTAATTATCATCATATTTTAAAGACACCATTCTGAGGTTGACAATATGTAATTATCATCATATTTTAAAGACACCATTCTGAGGTTGACAATATGTAATTATCATCATATTTTAAAGACACCATTCTGAGGTTGACAATGTGTAATTATCATCATATTTTAAAGACCCCATTCTGAAGTTGACAATGTGTAATTATCATCATATTTTAAAGACACCATTCTGAGGTTGACAATGTGTAATTATCATCATATTTTTCTTGATATGCAAATTATCAGGACTTTAATATGCGCAATTGTTATTATGTTTCTATTCATGTAAACAATAAATTTTGAGGTAAAAATAATCTAATTTTATCCCATTTCTACGTAGTTAATAACACATCCTGACATATGATATTACATTCCATTTAATTAGAATTATAAATTATTGCTCATTGCTTTCATCATTTCTACTTAATGTAACTCTCATTTTAAAGGCAACAAAAACATAATAACACTAGTTAAACTTAAATAAGGATTCGTTCCTGTGCATTTTATGTTATACTGATATAGCCCTATGTTATTTGATATCACAATACCTACAGATAGCACAGTTGTACCAAAGTACCTAATATGGTTCAGTTTTCTTAGAATCACAATCACATAGTTAGTAGTATAGGTTATAAGCAACATAGATGTATTATTAAAATCACATTCTCACCAATGTAGGATACTACTATTACATAGCCTCTATTTATCTGCATCATATAAATGGACATATATATCTATATATATAAAGTATTTTTTATATTTTCCAGTACGCAAACATTTAGCACATGGTTTTATATTTATAGAAACAAAATCAGTATATTTCCATATAATGGACCCACGGTGGCTCATCGTTAAATCTGAAAACGTACAACGTTACAAATGGAGTTTCGATGTGCTTACCAGCAAGAAAAAAAAAAAAAAAAAAAAAAAGAAAACTCACGCAGTGAAGCAGTTAAGGCAGTTAATATAGTTGATTTTTGTAATGTAATCACACATTCTCACCTAGATAAGTAATAGATTCGACACTAGATGGAGCTAGTATTAATATTTTTCTATTATGCAATTTTAATTTTAAAAAGAAAAAACCATCTACAGAATACAATCTCAATACATAAGAAATATGACTATAGTTAGTATACAGAATACAATGCCAGTACATAGAAAATACAACTATAGTTAGTATATGGTGTCTTTTTTTCCACAAATAGGTATTAAAAGTTTTAACGTTTGTTTCGTTCGTGATACTCAAAAGTCACGTAGCACGAAAATTAGATAAGTCACAAAAAGGAAACCCGATAACCCGAGAGCTTTCAAAATTTAGACCTTCCTCCTTTCTACTTTGTGTTATGATTAATCATTACAAATTACAATTAGCACGGACACAAACCATAAACTGCTCATTAACTCTTGTTCTTCCTGTTTTTTACAGTTTATTATCACGCCTAAAGGTCCGGAGAAGGAAATTAAGCTTCAGCTTCCTATCATGATAGCCACTTATCCGATACGGAACAGCGACGGAACTCTGTCTCGAAAGAAGGGAACGAATTACCCAACAGTGTTACCTATGTTTCGTTCATGGCTAAACACCGGGACAATGAACAAATGAAGCTAGAATTATTTTAAAAGGCTGGAATAGTGGTAAAGCTATCGTCTTTATTGAAATGTAAATGGTCAGAGGTATTTGGAAATATTTTTCCAAATAAAAAAAATCTTATTACATTTTCATCACCCATGTGATAAAGAATGGCTAGTTGTTACTATAGGTTACGCTTTTCATTTGTGGTAGCATAGAACTGAAGCATTTATACAGCTTTGCAAATTTTGGGTAATTCCCCTTTAACCACACAGCAAAATCTCATAATATGGTAGTATTATTATTAGTCAGGACTCTCCAAGAGTAGCCACAATTCTAAATTCCTACGGCCAGGTGGTAAGGGCGCTCGACTCGCAATTTGAGGGTTGCGAGTTCAAATCCCCGTCCCACCAAACATGCTCGCCCTTTCAGCCGTGAGGGCGTTATAATGTGATCTTTTCAGTAGTAGATACCTCATAGGACTTCTCAGTAATATAACCAGTTTTTAGCCGCGGCATAGCGGCTCTTAGGTTTTTTTTCAAGTTCAAACTTTTAGCTCACAGCTCCCTTATCTCTTTACAGTTTGGACTCAGGTAGTCAAACCCTTTCGATTGATATATTTGACTACGCCCAAGATCTCATACATTAATTTACTCTAATCCCGCTTAAATTAATTTCAATTTGAGGGTAGGCTGGTAGAGATCCTGATGAGTAATAAAATCGAATCGGGTATACGCGCTCCCGACGCTTGATATTGCTGGCGCACGAAAATATAGCTAATAAAAAGGGGGCAAAAAGTATCATAGATTAATTTAGTCTAATCCTGCTTAAAATAATTTTCAAGTGCCGCGGCAATTGATGATTCCCTCTTGTCTTTAGTTAGGAACGAAGGCTTTACCATATTATGTCATCGTCAATAATATGATCAAACCAATAAAGCAACAAATGGAAACTAAGGCTTTTTTCATAATACCTATCCAACAAATAGGTTCTAACAAAGGATAATGTTCAACAATTATAAATGTCACAGCTCTTAATTACTGCTTTAGAGCCTTGTCAGTAACGTAATCAATGTTCTTGTGCACTAATTAGAAACAAAACTCTAAAGATTTCCAGAAGTAACAACCAACCATGATCCTTTGTGGCTAACTATGCCAAGTCTCTTGAACTAAAACTAAATCATATAAGCAACAGACATAAAATACTGTTTTGTCTGTGGAACGGTAACCCCCTCTCCCTAAAAAAAAACAAAAAACAAAAAACAAATTGATTAAATTCTTTAAATGGGCTGAGGGTATGACCATCTGATTTAGTTTTTATTCAGTCTATTAAGATTAATTGTTAATAGTGATGTTTAGCGTATTCGACATGTTATGAGTATATATTTGTGTAATAATGATCAATATCAATAATTAATGTTTTCTTATTTTTACTATATAAAAACTTATTTATTGATTACGTTAGAATGATCAAAGAACTTTCAAGTACTTCGTTTGATTGTTGGTTAAATGGAGAAACAGCAAACTCACTATTTATTTTTAATGAGTTGATGAGCAAGCGTTATTAACGAATGTGGTTCTTACAAGTTTTATGTCGCTTTTCTTTATTTGTTTTGTTATTAAGCTCATTGTTGTTGTGTTGCTTAGCCACCAGGGGTGGATTTTTATATCAGTGTACATTGTAAGACTTTGTGTGTCTCGTTTGTTTAATTCTATTTCTATGATAAATGGGATAAAGTGATCACAGTCAGCTTTAAAGTTTTTAGCTCTTATTGGTTTATATATTATCATGTGTAAAACTGCTATTAAAAATTAAACACTGTGGCATAACACATGTTGTGACTTAAATTATGCACATGAAACTTTATTTCTCACTTGCTTGTGAATAAAAGGAATACTCTGTTACATGACTGGGTTTTACTAAAACTGAATAGAGATATCCAACAACAGTTATCAAAGCTCCCACTTATGCACATAATTACATTTTGCAATCTTGCATGCTTTACAATAAGTCAAGGATACATTTTTTAGTAACATTAGTTAGTTTTATGCTTGCGAATTACTATGTCAAGAAGTTTAAGTTATTTTAATCTTAGATTAAATTTTCCGGTAACAAAATCTTAGCGACAATCCATGTTTTAATCGTGTGGCAAAAAGCAGATGAAATGAATTATGCAGTCAGTAATTAAGAAAGAAGAAATTGATGTCAGAAATGGTTGACTAATCAGTCAGAAATTTGGTGCATTAAAACAGTCAGTAATGGACGTACTAATTAGCCATAATTTAATGCACTAAACAGTCAGAAATGGATGCAATATAGAGCCAGAAATTGGTGCATTAAACAGTAAGAGGTGTATGTACTAAACAGTTTCAAGTGGATGCACTAAACAGGAAGAAATGGGTGCATTAAACAGGAAAAAGTGGCTGCATTAAACAGTAAGAAATGAATGCACTAAACAGCCGGAAATATGTGCATTAAACAGCCAAAAATTGAAGTTAAATCACAAATAATAATAAATTATAATAAAACCGTTGGTCTAGATAGCCTAAGTAATTTCTGCTTAAACTGTACTAACTAATTAAAAAACCAAAACTGGTGATTAACTTTTTGTGTTGTTGTTGCTCAGCACGATAATTGGTTTAAAGCTTTGGCGATCTGTTAGAAGAATAGAGCTGCTATCAGTACTTAATTTTGTAAAAAATATAACTTTTAAAAATATACTGCTGGTGTTTGGTGATTTAAAAGTTTCAACTACTCTCACGAAGGAGCGCTTTACTAACAAGAAGCACAAACTGCTATCATTGGTCAGTTTTATATTAATTAGAAGTTCAAAATGCTCACATGTCCTGTTTTTCTACTCACCAGAAGTTGACACTGTTGTTAAGCTAAAATCTGATTTTGTGGATTTATCCTACTAATTGATTTCAAATTTACCTTTATACTAGTGTTTACTTGTGAAAACAGAACTAGAAGTTATTTGACAACCCTGTATCAGAAACATCGATTGTGCATTTCATTCTTGGGTCACGCGAAAATAAATCCATATATTTTCTATTTTCACCTCAATGGGTCTTGGTACCTTCCAGATAAAATTCTAAATTACACTTAAGTATTGACCAATTATACCGTTGATTTATAAATAGCTTTATTCTCAGGTTTGTACAAAATTATATAACACCATGATAATGAATTAATTTAGAATCACCCTGAAGCTAATTAGTTTAATGAAAGACGACACATCACATTTTCCAAAGAAGTGCCTTGAGGGACGAAGCTCCACAAACCTTATCTAGTTTCTTAATCTTATATATATTTTCTAATTTCAAATCTAGCTTGTTTTGTTTTGACTTGACTATAATAGTGTACTTACGAGTCCTTGGAATAAGGTATACTTAGCTCACATTAAGTCCATTCAAGATCAAGTATCTAATATTGGTTTAGACCTTTTAAGAAACGTCCATACGATAATTTTACTTGACATCCGAGCAAGTGCTTAACAACTGATGCAAGTATTATCTAAAACTGTCTCGTTCTCTGCACAATTGTAAAGACATTAATATGATTTAAGTCTATAGTTTATATGGGTTTACAGCTAAAACATTGTTTAACAGAAAGCGTATTCATTACAGGATGGAAGCGGCTTGGTGGCTAGGGCTCTAGACTAGGGTCTCGAATCTATTCCCTAACAATGCATGTCCTTTCAGAAATTGGAACATTATAATGTGACAGTCAGTCT